AGGGAAAGACCTTGCAGTGTGTGACGAGCACAAATCGGGGTGAGTGTCAGGTTTTCTTAACACTCAGCAGAAACGCGTCTGTTGAGTGAGAAAAAATGAGGCGCCAGCCCCAATGAGAAAAAAAAAAACTTTATTCCCTCAGGTTACCCTCACACACGGAAGCACTTGGGTTCTCAGTACAAGGGTCTGCTGAGCGGTCAGATCAAGCTCCAGTTTCTGTTCTGTTAAAGGATAAGTTCACCTTTTCAAAAAATAGTAATAAATGCACATTTTTTGCAGGTAAAAAAATATGCATTTTACTATTTTTTTTCTAGAAGCCTGGAAAGCATTGCACCAACAATCAGCAGATCATGGGTGTAATGCAGTACTCCTGCAGACTGTCAGTGTGATCTTACATCATACATGGCATGGGCAGGTAGTTTCACACTGACAGGAAGAGTCAGTGAACTACTAGAGTGCTCAACAGTGCCGTGGTAGTTCATTGAGTACTACAAGCCGACATCTCCAAAGAATGTCAGTACTTGTAGTAGATTCATTCACAGAACTCTGAATAAATTACGTGGCCATGTGGGTGGAGCCCCACACAGCCACACACTTCAAAAAGTGACAGCTGGTATGGGGAACTTCTCTCTTCGTACTGCTGTCACACAGAGGGCTCGGATCACCGAGCCACAGCAGACGTGGGCACATTTTACATATTCCACCCTAAAAGTGGGTGGAACATGTAACATGTTCACAAAGGTGAGCTTATCCTTTAACCCTTTCACTGCCAGGACAGTTCTTGAGGTTTTTTTGCACACATTTTAAAAATCACTTTATGCCTAAGGATTACATAAAACACATGGTTTATGAAAGCAGACACACTAGAGAATAAAATAATGGTAGTTCCAACAAAAACCCAATAAATTACCCAATTTTCTGCAAAATATTAAAGATGAGGCTGCACTGAGCAAATCGATACCCAACACGTTAAAACCTTTAATTTGTATGCACCTGTGAAATGGCGGCAAACTTCAGTACCCTATATTTTCTATAGGTGACGCATTACAAGCCCCATATAGGTCATCAATTTAGCATTGCAGATGATGTCTTGTGCTAGAAATGTTCCTCTCATTCCGGAGTGCGCTGCGATATACATCGCAAACACATTTTCATGCTTAGGTGCCCCGATGCTTGTGTTTGTACATGCATATATGTGGCGGTGGGGGAGAGCTCAACATTTTTTGGGGGGGGAAAATTTATGTGCTTGGATGTAACTTTTTTTTTTTAATATACAATAAAAAAATATATTTTTTACTTAACTTTTTTTTTTTCCCATCACATAGGGGCCAATAAGTCCCCAATGTGATTATTTTTGGTAACAGGTTCTCTTTAATGAGACATGCAGGGTATAAAAGACCCTGCATGTCTCCCCTGTGCTCCTCTGAATGTAATGCAGTACAGATTGCACTGCATTACATTCTTTCCCAGCCTCAATGGCCAGGGACACTGTCAATGGGGACCTGGAAGAAACATACATGTTGCTTCCAGGTTAGGAAACAAGGGAGGAGAGCGGATGTGTGTCTGCTTTACTCCCTCCCTTCTGATCGGGATGCCTGCTATTTGCGGCCCGAGCACACAGATGGGCAAATGCAGCCCAGGATACATGGTGGGTGCGCGTACATGTGGGGGCTGGCACTTTCTCGGAATGTGTTGAAGCAATCAGGTGGCAATGGAGCAGCCCAAATGCTTTTATCTGGCAAGCCCTGCTACTTTCCCCCAGCTGGGCTAAATGTAAATGAAAAATACCTGCCTGACTCCCGGAATTACATGTTTCAGACGTTACAAATTTCTCGTCCCTGCCTTTGTCCAACAATGTGTTTTTAATCACCCCTGGAACTAGTTTGTCCTTTGGAGTATCTGGGTCTAGTCCTGGACACTTCTCATGACATAGTGGTCCACAGGTGAAACTTGCATCTCAGATTTGAACTCTCCTGTCCAGGACTGTGGACTAGCATTTGACTTTCAGCACTATCCAGGAACAGGCTTCTACCCTTCTGTCCTTCTGTCCTGTTTCAAAGACTGTTGACCCTACACTCCTTGATTAAACTGGATCTTTAGTCAGAAAATTAAGTCCTGGTAGATCACTTCATGACCCCTTTTGCGCATATAGCTGCATAAAGCATTAAAAAATAAGTGCCTATACTGTTTAAAATCCAGTAATGCTCTTATTTGTCTCACCCTGCTCTGCACATGCTCAGTTGCGCCTTATTCTTGGCACTGTGCCTAAAATCAAAGCCACTAGAGACCGATCAGCTGAAAACGTTAAGATTTACTGCTGCTGAAGGGGGAAGAAGGCAACAGAAATGACACAGACTGTGGTGATGGAAGATTAGGGAGGGAGAATAGCAGGGGAGGTGAAGGACAAACTATTCTGCCATGGAGAAACAAAAGAATTAAACTTACAAGAACAGTGTATTGTCTTGCCTTCCTGATTTTCTCTCCTTTCTCCCTCGTCAGCAGCCTGTGAACTTCAGCACTGTAAAGCCTCTGTCAGCCTTCCTCTAACTGAGCCAGAACATACAATCAAGGCTGGAAATGTACATATTTTAATTGGAGAAAGTGACATATAGTTTTTGAGACCAGGGGAGGAGAGGGGGAGAGAGTTTCCAATAAGGAAGTGAGTGTTCTGGGCTTCAACAAAATGGTGGACTCCAGCAAGACGAAGCAGTTGCAATGCTGGAGGCAAATAACAGCACACACTAATTTTGGTTGCATAATTATTAACGTGCAATGTATGTTCTTTGTTAAAGACCATTGATTGTAATCAAACTGTTATGTATAAAGCTCTTCTTTAACCTTTGCACAGGGGGTCTCCCATGTAGCCTCACCGTCTGTTCCTCAGTGACTCTGAGGGATCTGAATTGGGTTCTCTCTGTGTGCCTCAAAGGGGGGGGGGGGGGGGGGGGGGGAACAAGCGTCACAATCTCCCCTTATTCAGTGGAAAAAATACAAGATGTTTTATGAATGGAGGAAATGAATTGTATATGTTGTATGAGAGCTGGAATTCTAAGTCTGTGTGTCAGCATTGAATGAAACTAACATTTTAACCTCCCTAGCAGTCTGATTATGTCAGTATTTCTGTGCTCAAAGCGGTACATTGTTTTCAATGGAAATATATGTTGTTTTTCTATTGTAGGCTTGTAATTCTTAGGAATAACTCACTGAAATCTGTCTGAACAAGAGTCTAGTAACCATCCCTGGCATGATAAAATCTGAAACACAAAATCATAAATTATACCAATAAATCATAAAAAATAATATAATAAATTTAATTAAATAATGTAATCAAACCAAAAACACTGAAATTTGAAATAGAGCGCCAAGTTTGCACATCACTGAGCTCAGTCGCAAAATTGTTTTCAGTGTCTGATGACGAATTTCCCCACGAATCATCACTCAATTATGCAAGTGGTTCTGATTTACTATCGCTGCTCTGTAACTGGTCTAAAACCACTCTTGACTAAAGGGACGCTTTTTGGACGCCATGGACGTTTCTCAGTTTCCAGGCAGAAAGAACAGTAAAAATGCAGGCAGGGCACAGGACAAAGCACTAGGGGCAAAATGTATGCGAAATGCTTTGATACAGTAATGTAATACTATCAGATTTTAGTGTATTGAGTGAATGTCAAATTTTTACATTTTTGAAATTCCTGCCGGTTCCATCCCCCGTACGTCCCGATGCTCACAGGGACCGGAACCCGGAAGACGGATGCCAGCATCGGTCAGAGGACATGACCGGGGACACTGCTGGGGGGATATCGCTGGAGCGCAGGAAAAGGTAAGTGCTCGAGGGATCCCAGGGCAACGCTGCAATGTAATCATAAGTGTAGCTTGGGGTTACCGCTTCTGGTACTGAAACGTAACCCAGAGCTACACTCAGGAATACTGCCAGGGAGGTTAAGTAACACAGGAGCCATCCACACATGAGATACCTCATTAGAGGTGATAGATTGGTACATTGCAAATATCTAAAATATTTTTTCATCTTTAAACTGCTTCCATTTCTTTAACCACTTGCCTACCAGGCACTTATACCCCCTTATTTACCAGGCCAATTTTCAGCTTTCAGCGCTGCCGCACTTTGATTGACAATTGCGCGGTCATGCAACATTGTACCCATATGAAATTTTGATCATTTTTTTCTCACAAATAGAGCTTTCTTTTGGTGGTATTTAATCGCCACTGGGCGCTTTACTTTTTGCGCTATAAATAAAAAAAGTGCAAAAAATTTTTTTTTTAAAAAAAGTTTTCTTTTATAAAATTTTTCAAACAGGTATTTTTTCTCCTTCACTGATGTGCGTTGATGAGGCAGCACTGATGGGCACTGATAGGCGGCACTGATGGGCACTGATAGGCAGCACTAAAGGGCACTGATAGGCAGTACTAATGAGGTGTCACGGATAGGCGGCACTGATAGACAGCACTAATGAGGTGTCACGGATAGGCGGCACTAATATGCAGCACTGATAGGCGGCACTGATAGGTGACACTGATGATGGGTACTGATAGACGGCACTGACTGGCATCACTGCTGGGCACTGACTGGCGGCACTGACTGGCACAACCCCTGGGCACTGACTGGTGGCACTGACTGGCAGCACTGCTGGGCTGCACTGGTGGGTGGCACTGGTGGGCAGCACTGGTGGGTGGGCACAGGTGGGTGGCACTGGTGGGCACAGGTGGGTGGGGCACAGGTGGGTGGTACTGCTGGGCACAGGTAGGTGGCACTTCTGGGCACAGGTGTGTGACACTGCAGAGTGGCACAGGTGGGTGCACTGCTGGGCACAGGTGGGTGCACTGCTGGGCACAGGTTTGTGATCTGCTGGGCACAGGTGGGTGGAGCTAGTGGGCGCACTGCTGGGCACAGGTGGGCGGAACTTGCGGGTGACACTGCTGGGCACTGATCATCAGGGCACTGATCATCAGTGCCCTGATGATCGGTGCCGATCCCCGCTCTGAGAACTGCCGGTTCTCGGCAGTACTTTCCTCACGATCTGACAGCGTGAGGAAAGTGCAGCCGAGAACCGGCACTTGCATTTGCCTCTGATCAGCGTGTCATTGGACACCGCTGATCACGTGGTAAAAGGCCGCTGTGATTGGCCTTTTACCACATCACGTGATCAGCTGTGTCCGTAGGACACAGCGATCATGGAGATCGCCGGGTGCGCGCCCCCTGGGGCGCGCAGGAGAGCGCGTTCTGGTGAGGACGTCATATGACGTCCACTCAGAACTGGCCGGCCGCAGTGCAGCCGTCATTCGGCTATCTGCGGTCGGCAGCTAGTTAAAAACGTCAACACTCTCCCAGGTTTATGCTGGGTTGATGTATTCTTCCAAATGGCATTTTCTGCTTATACTTTTGGGGTAGGGGTAGATCCTTTGTAAGGTTATTTCATTGGGAGTTTTTCTTCTTATAAGAACAAATTGGAAAATTCTACAGGGCCATAGGCAGCAGTTAGAGAGCTCATAGAGATCCTAGCCGTCCCACAGTCTACCAATAAAGTTTGCTTAAGCTGCAGTGTTCCTAGTGAAGAGGTTTCTCCCTGCTTCAGGTTTCGGTGACAACATTGTTAGAAAGTGAGATGAAGGGTTCCTGAAAGGGACACAAGCTGCACTAATAAATAATTGGTTCTAACCCCTATCTCCCCTAGCCAAAACAAAAAAAAAAGTATTGTTACAGTACATTATATTCCAAACACTGTACCTTCTAATAACATTTTTAAAGTTTTGGGTTTTATTTTTCTGTTTGTTTTATTTTTTGTGTTATCTTGTGATGTGTTTTAAGCATTCAGTAAATACAGTGTTAGACCTGCATCAGAACTACGTATGTATTCATTATATAAGACAACTAACATGGTAACAGCTACACACTCAAACCTCAAGACTGTACACATATACCGTTTGTGCTACCACCTTCACTGCACAAAGTTTAAACCTTTATTCTTGAATTTACTTTACTCAGCAATAACTACCCCCTGGGGTACATATAACCCTGGATGAGAGCTTCTGCTTTAGGTTTAAAGTATATTAGCTCCATTTCAGAGATAATCCCACTTAATGTATTGTACCCCAAACAAATTTACATTTATTTTTATAAATCACTGTGTATAAAACAATTGAGAGGGATAGGATGTTGCAGCACAAAAAAAAAATCACTGAATAAGGACTTTCATAGCAGGATCGGTAGGTGATATTTTAAAGAAAGCTGAAGATTTAAAAAGATCAAAAATGACTTACGTTCCATTGAAGTGTTTGCAAACCCTTACATATACCCAGTGAAGTGATTTGCCTCAGGTGATACACAGAGATGAAACAAATCCTCCTACATAAGTTGTATCTGTTTATCTGCAGTCTTCTCTTTACATCCGTTCAAAGTCTGGAATCTATAAAGCTTGACTGAACTTCCAGAGCATAGGCGGCAAGGAGCTGAAGTTACACTGCAGAGCTCAAGGAGGAGAGCTGATTAGAGGGAATTGACACTCCTTCACACAGCACACAGGAATGGAGCTGAGGCTGTCAATCACAGGCTGCGCGTTGGAGCTCCCTCCTCTATCACCTTTTTATCTCTTGGTGTGAGGAAAACGTTTCAGCAGTGACACATGCAGATAGCAGAGGAACAAGGCAGCAGACAAATGCTCTGGACTGAGACAAGTACACAGTATAGAAGGATATGCTTTGCTCATACTTTACTTTAGTGGTTTACAACCACTTTCAGCTTTATATTTTGGTATCTTAAAAGAAATTTTAACTTAGGCAAGACTCATTTCCACTTTTCTGCTCAAAGCGCTTGCTTTTACCAAGTCATCAGCCTCATGGCAGCTGCAAATTATTTTGTTTATTCAGTTTCATTTTCCTCATAAAAAAGATGATTTTACTTCCCTTCTGTGTTCGTATAAATATTTGCAAATTTTTCTGCAGTTTACTTTTTTAAAACAGATTTGTTCAGATGCACTCTCTGAATGTCAGATGTACTTTTCATTATTTCATATGGACATATTTTGGCAGTGATGCACAAGTGACAATAGCTAAGAATATGGTAATTTTCACTTCATCTTCTCATAAACTAACAAAAAGGTAGGTGGTAATGTCTATGCCATTACATGCTATTGGGCACCTGCTATTAACCTTTACAAGCATTTCTAAATTAAATAATGACATTCTATGAAAGCATTACTAGAGCCCAGACACATTTTGTATTTACCCTTTCTTCTGAATTAAAATTAACTTCTTTGCTTACATTTTATCTGTTAAATATGCAAATAAAAGCATTTTTATATCTATTTGAGAAGTGCAAAAAAAAACTTGTTGATTCTTCCAGAAATGTAGTGCTCTGCAGTGTTGGCTCAAACAATATTATCAGCCCTGTCTACCTCAGTTCTTTAAACTTCAGATCACCTTCCCCTATGTTATGTTCTGTAGTCCTAATACACTTTATTTCTTAGGCTGCTCCTCCATTGATACAGTGATGCGAGTGAGTGCTGTCACTCTAAGACAAAATGTATGTTACTAGCAAAATATGTTAAAAAAAAAAAAGCTAATAAAAATGTAGCTAATAACTGGCAAGCTGAAATATACTACGCTTTTTAATTTAAATACAATTTAAAAGGACAAAATGGATAGTCTAAAGTGTAATCAAGTTAACCCATGTTTCCCTCAAGAACCTAATCAAGTACACACTTTTGTTTTTTCCCAAATTCTTCTGTACCTGATTACAATTTTAATGTGCACACTAGTGTACTTAAATCAAGTACCACATGGGCTTCTGTGTCCCCCTTTCCTGTATGTCCCTTAATACCTAAGGGCCCAGTCACACCTATTCAATATGGTGCATTGTGGCAATGCATCATACACACATTAGTGCTTTGCGGTGCCATTTGTTTTCAGTTACACCCCAACCTACTAGAGCAACTCGCTTCCAACACAAGTGATAGCTCACTAGTGTGTTGTGGTGTGCTGAGTGAGAAAAAATGCTGCTTGTTTGGCTGTTGGTATGTTGTCAGCGCATTCAAATGAATTGGCTGCCTTGACACAAATGACATGCATTAACACGTGGCAATGGACATCCTAGGTGTGACTGGGCCCTTACAGATGGTATCATTTCTGCCTGACAACTGACAAGGGTTTTTTTAGAATTCATTTATCTCTATCCCCTGTATATATGGTTTATTTTAAGCAAAATACCAGCAAAATTCAAGCAGTGTATGGCCCTGGCAGCTGCCAGAACACAATAGCTTGATGGGGGGATTTTACCAGGAATCTGTTAAATTTTCTTTTGTTTAGCCTAACCTTGCTTTTGTTAATATGACGATCTCTCGGAACGAAAAATACCTACTAGTGTGTACCAGGCTTTAGATTGAAAGCACCTTGAGGGCAGGGACTGATGTGAATTGTAATATATATGTATAAAATAATTATTCACTGCACTGTTTGTTTAAAATGTCATGTCTTTATATAAATTTAGAGGTATATTTGCATAGAACATTTCTAGACAAGCACCAGGATATTCCAAACAGATTAAGGGCTCGCTACAGACTTCTGGTTATTGCAACAAAAGCTGATACAGTTCTAGCACAGTGAATACCTACTTCATTTTACTCCATCATTAGCTGTACAAATTGCACCCTTTCTCTGTTTCATAAATATTGATACTTTCGATTAGGTTTACTGGAATCATGTATGTTTTATATACAGTGGTGAAAATAATTGTTTGATCCCCTGCAGATTTTGTAAGTTTGCCCACTTACAAAGAAATAAATGGTCTAAAAATTTTTTTCATAGGTGTATATTAAATGATAAAGACAGAATATCAACCAAAAATATAGAAAAAAAAACATGATACAAATGTTATAAATTAAGTTGCAGTTCAATGAGTAAACTAAGAATTTGATCCCCTACCAACTAACAATAATTCTGGCTCCCACAGACTGGCTATGTGTTTATGTGGTACACAGATTAGTCCTGTCAATTTAAGAAGGTTCTCCTAACACCTGTCCACAGAATCTCTTCCATTCAAACCTCACCATCATAGGCAAGACTAAAGAGCTGTCAAAGGACATCAGGGACATGATTGTAGACCTGCACAAGGCTGGAATGCGCTAAAAGACCATCAGCAAGGAGCTTGATGAGAAGGAAACAACAGTTGGAGCGATTATTTGCAAATGGAAGAAATACAAAATAACCATCTATCGCCCTTGTTGTGGAGCTCAATGCAAGATTTTACCTCATGGGGTAGGGCTGATCATGAGTGAGGGATTAGCCCAGAACTACACGGAATGAGCTTGTGAATGATCTTAAGGCAGTTGGGACCATAGTCACCAAACAAACCATTGGTAACACAATACGCTGCAATAAATTGAAATCCTGCAGGACCCGCAAGGTCCCCCTCCTCAAGAAGGCACATATACAGGCCCATCTGATGTTTGCCCATGAACATCTAAATGTTTCAGAGAAGGATTGGGAGAAAGTGCTGTGGTCAGATAAAACCAACATTGAGCTCTTTTGCATTAACTCGACTCGTGTTTGGAGGAAGAAAAATGCTGACTATGACCCTAAGAACAACATCTCTACAGTCAAGCATGAAGGTGGAAACATTATGCTTTGGGGCTGTTTTTCTGCTAAAGGTACAGGCCAACTTTTCCGCATTGAGGGGCCAATGGACAAGGCCTTGTATTGTAAAATCTTGGATGACAACCTTCTTCCCTCAGCCAGAACACTGAAGATGGGTCATGGATGGGTCTTCCAGCATGACAGTGACCCAAAACATACCACCAAGGCAACAAAGGAGTTGCTCAAGAAGAAGCACATCAAGGTCATGGAGTAGCCTAGTCAGTCTCCAGACCTTAATCCTATAAAAAATGTATGGAGGGAGCTGAAACTTGGGAGTTGCCAAGCAACACCCAAGAAACCTTAAAGATTTAAAGAAGATATGTAAAGAAGAGTGCACTGAAATCTCTCCTGAGATGTATTCAAACCTGGCAACCAACTACAAGAAACGTCTTACCTCTGTGCTTGCCAACCAGGGTTTCTCCACCAAGTACTAAGTCATGTTTTGCTTGGAGATCAAATACTTATTTTACTCACTGAACTGCAACTCAATTTATAACATTTGTATCGTGTGTTTTTATGCATTTTGGTTTATATCCTGTCCCTATCATTTAAAATACACCTATGATAAAAAATTATAGAACCTTCATTTCTTTGTAAGTGGACAAACTTGCAAAATTTGCAGGGGATCAAATTATTCTTTTCCCCACTGTATGGACTGTGATTTTGGGATGGATGTCCCATTAGAAAAGATTCATAAATAAGTTGTATAATATGAATACTCCCAATTGTTCTGCATTTATGATTTATTTTATAAAGATCTGTTTCAGGCAGATTTTCTCTATTATTATTATTATTATTATTTTTAATTTTTTTTATTTTTTAATAATTTGTTTGCCTAATTTATTGTGTGACCTTGTAAACGAAGGTTCCCATTTGATATAAAACTGGATAAAGTATTACTAATGAGAATATCTCCAGGACATAGTTATGTAGATTTAAGAGTGATGTAGTTTTAATTATTCTGCACAGCAAATGTGAATGCCGATTAAATGTAATTATGCCTTGCTATATTTCCCACTGAAATGTTTCCTATCCTGAAACCCTAAATAATTACGTACTTGGGTACCCCAAGGTTAGAAATCATATGTAAATGTTGACACTTGAAATTCCTTTCCCTGTCTCAGTTTTGTTGACTTTTTTTTTTTTGTTTGAGATTTAACCACTTGCCGACCGCGCATAGCCGAAAGACGGCTTCACCGCGGCCGGCCAGTTCTGAGTGGACGTCATATGACGTCCTCCCAGAACGCGCTCTCCTGCGCGCCCCAGGGGGCGCGCACCCGGCGATCTCCGTGATCGCTGTGTCCTACGGACACAGCTGATCACGTGATGTGGTGAAAGGCCGATCCCACCGGCCTTTTACCACGTGATCAGCGGTGTCCAATGACACGCTGATCACAGGAAAATGCAAGTGCCGGTTCTCGGCTGCACTTTCCTCACGCTGTCAGATCGTGAGGAAAGTACTGCCGAGAACCGGCAGTTGTCAGAGCGGGGATCGGCACCGATCATCAGGGCACTGATGATCAGTGCCCTGATGATCGGTGCCCAGCAGTGACCCCCGCAAGTTCCGATCAGCAGTGCACCCACTAGCCCCGCCCACCCATTCCCAGCAGTGTCCCCACCTGTGCCCAGCAGTGCCCCCACCTGTGCCCAGCAGTGCACCCACCTGTGCCACTCTGCAGTGCCACCTACCTGTGCCCAGAAGTGCCACCTACATGTGCCCAGCAGTGCCACCCACCTGTGCCCACCCACCTGTGCCCACCAGTGCCACCCACCTGTGCCCACCAGTGCCACCCACCTGTGCCCACCCACCAGTGCTGTCCACCAGTGCCACCCACCAGTGCAGCCCAGCAGTGCTGCCAGTCAGTGCCACCAGTCAGTGCCCAGGGGTTGTGCCAGTCAGTGCCGCCAGTCAGTGCCCAGAAGTGATGCCAGTCAGTGCCGTCTATCAGTACCCATCATCAGTGTCACCTATCAGTGCCGCCTATCAGTGCTGCATATCAGTGCCGCCTATCCGTGACCCCTAATTAGTGCTGTCTATCAGTGCCGCCTATCCGTGCCACCTCATTAGTACTGCCTATCAGTGCCCTTTAGTGCTGCCTATCAGTGCCCATCAGTGCCGCCTATCAGTGCCCATCAGTGCCGCCTCATCAACGCAAATCAGTGAAGGAGAAAAAATACCTGTTTGAAAAATTTTATAAAAGAAACAAATAAACTTTTTTTTTTTTTTCAAATTTTTTGCACTTTTTTTAATTTATAGCGCAAAAAGTAAAGCCTCCAGTGGCGATTAAATACCACCAAAAGAAAGCTCTATTTGTGAGAAAAAAATGATCAAAATTTCATATGGGTACAATGTTGCATGACCGCGCAATTGTCAATCAAAGTGCGGCAGCGCTGAAAGCTGAAAATTGGCCTGGTAAGGAAGGGGGTATAAGTGCCCGGTAGGCAAGTGGTTAAGTGGGTTTCTGAAGCATTTTTTATATGTAGATCAAAAGCAAAATAATAGGAAAAGGCAGTACTTTACTGCAGTGGAGTTGACTTTTCGTGTTTTAAAAAACTATTACAGGCTGCTGCCTTGGTTAAAGGAATACGGAACTGAAATAGATGTGGAGTCTAGCATCTGTCGCTACAGTACTTTGTGACTTACTGAACAAGAGTACACATGTAGCAAATGATTTCAGATTTCCTTTGTCTGCATATTCATTTAAGGCCAGTAACTTTATATTTGCATGGTAGCCAGGCAACTAGACTCCAAGAAGATAATTTTACAGCGATTACAAAAATTCCAAATTTCTTTTTTTAGTCCAATGAGAGATACAGGAAGTCATACACAACCAGAGTTTTGCTAGTGTCCAGTTCTTTTGTAGGTGGCAATATATCCTGACAGTATATGACTTCTGATGTCCCTTAATGCACTCCAGAAAGGACAGCATGTGGAGCTCCCCAAATATTTAATGTACCATTACCTTTACACCCCATACTTCCAACTCTGTAAATGTCAACTCGGTAAATGTCACATTTCGAGTTGCCAGGCCTGCCCACTGTTGCCAAAGGATGCACTCCACTTCACTGAAATTGTGCATACATGTGGGGTAGGAATAATTAACTGCAAAACAGAATAAAGCCAGTCTGCTAGCATTTACAGCAATGTGTGAATGGGAACTCTTGTCATATTCTGAGGCAGTTCCCCTCTGCCTGTGTTTCTGCCAAGCTCTTTAATTTGGATGTCAGTGGATTGCAACACTGTTTGAGGCCAGACTATGCTTTACTGTAAAATGCATTGAGGTGTCGTTGCAACTTGCAATTGGGCAGATGCGTGGAAGTGCCCTGCAAAAAAACAGTAAAGAGTGTTTTAGCACCTGCCATACACAACTCTGAATGCACCCTTAGAAATAATCCACATTCTACATGATTGATGGGTACGCCTTTACCACTCAATCCCAGCTGGTGCCTGCTTGAATTTTTGACAAGACTCTTTTGGATAAGTAAAGCACAGCTATAACCTCTAAGCCTTTACTGCCAAGGAACTGCCATCTTAGACTGTTTGATCTGCAGTTTGCCATGATGCTGCATGTGTGATCAGTTATGACACCAGCCATTTGATGGCTTGACAGTTTGGTTGAGAGCACAAGCATTTGGACAGATATCATTCAGGGCATGTCGTTAATGATAATTGTTTTGGGAAATAAAAATACGGAAGTGATGCAGTTCTGCATCAGTTTCGTATTTTTATATCTTGAATCATTTGGGTATATGATTGGATGCTAGCAGCTTCCGATATTGATTTAGACTAGATAAAGGTTTTTAGGTTTAAGCGCAGGAGGTTTCCACCATTGTTTTGGGAAACTGTTAACTCCAGTCAGTTTGATTCCACTTTAATTATTCTCTGGAAACCTTTGTTCGTTGTGCACGTTGTATATGGTTCTTGTGACGGAGGTATGGGTGGGACAAAACACACGCGGAGCGCAATGGCACACAAAGCTTTTGTTGAGTGATTTGAGGAGCACTTGATAGATATAGCAAGGGTTGAGTCCGGGGGCACACAGCAGAGGGGCAGTTCAGTCAGGCAACGGGTAAAGTCCGGGCACACAGCAGAGGGGCAGGCTGGCAGTCAATGATTAAGTCCAGGCACACAGCAGAGGGCAGTTCGGGCAGGCAATGGGTAAAGTCTGGGCACACAGCAGAGGCCAGTTTGGACAAGCAATGGGTAAGTCTGGGCACACAGCAGAGGACAGTTCAGGCAGGCAATGGGTAAAGTCCGGGCACACAGCAGAGGGCAGTTCAGGCAGGCAATGAGTAAAGTCCGGGCACACAGCAGAGGACAGGCTGGCAGGCAATGGGTAAGTCTGGGCACACAGCAGAGGGGCAAGCTGGCCGACAATGATTAAGTCCGGGCACACATCAGAGGGCAGGCTGGCAGGCAATGGGTAAGTCCGGGCACACAGCAGAGGGCAGTTCAGGCAGGCAATGGGTAAAGTCCGGGCACACAGCAGAGGGCAGTTCAGGCAGGCAATGGGTAAAGTCTGGGCACAAAGCAATAGGGCTGTTCACAGGGTAGCAATTCAGGGACTCGCCAGCCAGCAGTGGCCTCAGTAGAGGAAGTCTAGCCAGATAGGCACCAACTCCTCACGGTTATTCAGAGGGCTGTGTATCTTGGCCGCAGCTTCAAGATTACACAGACAACGTAGAACCACAAGTCCCAGCAGTGCACAAAGCAAAGCACAGTTCAGTGCATCTCCTGGTTAGGCCTGCAGCCTGGAGTGGCTCTGTACATCCTGACTCAAGCTCTGCCCATTCTAAGAGTCCTTCTCCCCACATAGGGGACAGTATATGGCCCTTTCAATTGGCAAAGCCCCAAGCTCCTGGTGCCGAAACGTCTGGCTTTTCACAGCCACAAGACACCATGCTGTCTGCGCTCCCTACTGGGATAACTCTCACCCCCCCCCCCCCCCCTCGGGGTGCAGGAACTTCAAATTATAAACAAAGCAGACAAGCTGACTGTTGGCCACACGTGTTAACAAAACTACACAAAAATAAAATATTTCTGCTGTCCGTCACAGTTCTAAACATATATGTTAATGGTTTGTAAAGCCAGAGAACAGTGCACCACACCAACCATCCAAGTGCTTCCCTGATCTGCTGGGATCAGGTGCTTGCTTGGAGTCCATCACTCCTCCACACATGACACACAGCCTGGTATAATCCAAAGAAAAAGTTGCATACCAATGATTTCTTCGCATGTAAAACTTTAATCAGCCAACCAGCTTTTAGCGTATGATCCTACTCCCAGGACCACCCCTCTAAACATAAAAGATCACCTATGATTAATACCATCTGCTGAAACATTTGAATTGTCGTCCTGGAGAACAATATGATGAAGCTTGTTGACTGATTGAATCTTTTCCTTTAAAGACATCTTCGATTTGCAGGTTTTTCTTTGGTTCATACTAAGCTCTATATAATATACACTATGTTGCCAAAAATATTGGGATACCCCTCCAAATCATTGGATTTTGGTGTTCCAATCACATCCATGGCCACATGTGTATACAATCAAGCACCTAGGCATGCAGACTGCTTCTACAAACATTTGTGAAATAATGGGTTGCTCTCAGGAGCTCAGTGAATTCAAACATGGTACCATGATAGGTTGCAGTAAGTCCATCCATTAAATTTCCTTGCAACTAAATATTCCAAGGTCAACTGTTAGTGGCATTATAACAAAGTGGAAGCAACTGGGAACAACAGCAACTCAACCATGAAGTGGTAGGCCACATAAAATGACAGAGCGAGCATGCTGAAGTGCGCAGAAGTCTCCAACTGTCTGCAGGGTCAATAGCTAAAAATCTCCAAACTTCATGTGGCCTTCAGATTAGCACAACAACCGTGCATAGACAGCTTCATGGAATGGTTTTCCATGGCCTAGCAGCTGCATCCAAGCGTTATATCACCACGTGCAATGAAAAGCATCAGATGCAGTGGTGTTAAGCACACCACCAGTGGACTCTAGAGCAGTGGAGACGTGTTCCAATGAACGTGTCTGGGTTTGGCGGTTGCTAGGAGAACGGTACTTGCCTGACTGCATTGTGCCAAGTGTAAAGTTTGATGGAGGGTGGATTATGGTGTGAGGTGTTTTTGCAGGAGGAACTTGACTGGCCCGCACAGAGTTCTATTCTAACCTCAACCTGATAGAACACCTTTGGGATGAATTAAAGTGGAGACTGTGAGCCAGGCCTTCTTGGTCAAACATTCCCATAGACACAGTCCTAAACCTTGTGGACAGCCTTCCTAGAAGAGTTGACGCTGTTATAGCTGCAAAGGGTGGGCCGACTCAATATTGAACCCTTCGGACTAAGACTGGAATACCATTAAAGTTTATGTGCTTGTATTGGCAAAATAGAAAATAGTGTGTGTGTGTGTGTGTATATATATATATATATATATATATATATATATATATATATATATATACACACAGTTGTGTTCAAAATAATAGCAGTCAGACATCACTAGCCTAATCAATCACTGTTTTAGTAGAAATGATATTTCTACATGGCAAATAAATTTACTGGCAGGTGTAGTAGAGTAATAGAAATCCAACAGACCCAACAGTCATGACATGCATGCTGCTGATTCTGTGTAATTGAATCACTAATTGAAAGGGGCATGTTCAAAATAATAGCAGTGTGGAGTTCTATTAGTGAGGTCATTCATTCTTTGAAAAACAGGTGGCAATTATTTCCCTTATTTAAAGAAGGAAGGCAGCAAATGTTGTACATGCTGGTTACAGTGCATTTCTCTCTGAAATTCTGAGAAAAATGGGTCGTTCCAGACATTGTTCAGAACAGCGTGCCTTGATTAAAAAGTTGATTGGAGAGGGGAAAACATATAAAGAAGTGCAGAAAATGATAGGCTGCTCAGCTAAAATGGTCGCAAATGCTTTAAAATGGCAACCAAAACTTGAAAGACGTGGAAGAAAGCGAAAAACTACCATTCGAATGGATAGCAGAATAGCCAAAATGGCAAGGACTCAGCCAACAATCAGCTCCAGGAAGATGAAAGAAGGTCTAAAGTTACCTGTGAGTACTGTTACAATTAGAAGACGCCTATGTGAAGCCAGGCTATCTGCAAGAAGCCCCCGCAAAGTCCCACTGTTGAAAAAAAGGCATGTGCTGAAGCGGATACAATTTGCCAAAGAGCACATTGACTGGACTAAAGAGAAATGGCGCAACATTTTGTGGACTGATGAAAGTAAGATTGTTCTTTTTGGGTCTAGTGGCCGGAGACAGTTTGTTAGACGACCCCCAAACACTGAATTCAAGCCACAGTACACTGTGATGACAGTGAAGCATGGTTGCGCAAGCATCATGATATGCGGATGTTTCTCATACTACAGTGTTGGGCCTATTTATCGCATACCAGGGATTGTGGATCAGTTTGAATACATCAGAATACTTGAAGAGGTCATGCTGCTTTATGCTGAAAAGGAAATGCCCTTGAAATGGGTGTTCCAACAAGACAACGACCCCAAACACACCAGTAAACGTGCAACATCTTGGTTCCAGACCAACAAGATTGACGTTATAGAGTGGCCAGCCCAATCCCTGGATCTTAATCCAATAGAAAACTTGTGGGGTGCCATAAAAAATGCAGTTTCTGAGGCAAAACCAAGAAATAGAGAAGAACTGTGGAATGTAGTCCAATCATCCTGGGCTGGAATACCTGTTCACAGGTGCCAGAAGTTGGTTGACTCCATGCAACACCGATGTACAGCAGTTCTCAGAAACAGTGCTTATACAACTAAATATTAAGTGATTCAAAGGAAAGCAAAATCTTCAAACATTTTTCAGTTTTTATAGTGAATGTTTGAGTTTGTAAAGAAGAATACAAACACTGCTATTTTTTTAAACAGTCTAATAATCACTTTTCTGCTATTTTATTAGAGGAACAACACAAATTTGATATATTTTTCTTCACGTTTTGATTTGGAATAGAATGTGTAGTGTTCCCAATGCATTTGTGTGTATGGAAAATAAAAGCTATTAGAAGGATTTTGAGCTTTATTCACTTTTTGCAACACACTGCTATTAATTTGAACACAACTGTGTGTGTGTGTGTGTGTGTGTGTGTGTGTGTGTGTGTGTATGTATGTATATATATATATATAAAATTATTTATAGTTATATTAGTGCTTTGAAGAAAAATGCCCCCACTGAAAAATATTGGATTATAGTAGTAAACTTCAGAGTAATACGCAAAATGGCCACTGTCTCCAGAAAATATAGTACACGTTGATTAATTCCCTTCCCACCTTATGGTAGTCTTCTTGCTCAAAGGTAATACATTCACTTCATTATATGCATTTTTTCATGATTACATTGTGTGAGACCCTCTTTTCATGCTTTTATCAGGCTGCCTTTTGCAAAAATATTTACAGATTTATGCACATGAGTAGTAGAAATTAGGAAACGGTTGGACATAGCAGTTAATATAGATTTAATTTACAACAGTTCTATTTCAGAGGCTGTTTTTTTCATCATAGCTACTCCAGATAACACTTGTACTCCACTGTTAAAAGGAACATATATAGTACATTGTAATGGTTTTGTTGTGTTGACCAAATTTAAATTGAAATATCTCATGCTTTTTTTTTTTTTGTATATGTTTTATATATACTATTTAAAAAAGAAAGTTACTACAAATTTGCATTATGATTGCTTCCTTTCCTTTTCAACTTCTTTTCATTGTGTCCGTATTCATTCTTCTGAACCAACCACCACTTTATCCTTCCTATTGGCCAATGAGATAACTCATCGCATTAAAATTCCAGTAGGGCAAGGTTAAACTTTCAGAGAAAAAGCCTAGATATGCATATATTCCTAGTAGCCTATATTTTGGGATATGATTAGGGTTTTTGATATGCCCTCAACAGGTAACATCAGTTATTGGATTGCAAGTTTGTGATTTTTTTTTTTGCCTACATCATTGCTACTTGATCGGTTTCTCACTGTTCCTATGTGTCAGCTATGAATACAAGTACATTATTTTCATCTTTTTATCAGGTTTTTAAATTCAAAAACAGGCATTTCTGAAACAGACAGGCTTCTACTGTATATAGTTCAAGGCCATTATCCAAATTGCCTTTATCATTTTTTGATAAAATTATACAGAAAAAAAATTTCAAGCACCTTGTTTAATAGCAAGTCTATTTTCTTTACACCTCTGCCTGAAGTGCCCATTTAAATAGCTTCACAGTGGCATGAAAGGCGTTACATGATGGAACACATGAAAGTAGAAGATTGACTGCTCTCTCCAACTACACCAGCATCTTGTAACAGACGAGAGTTTATTCTCCTGCTGTTTATTCAATGCCTTTGCTGGCTGTAAATTATATATTCATAAGCCTGGTAGTATCCCATCTGTTTCTGCCGAGTACGGCTGTTCTGCTCTGGGGATAATTATTTGTACAGCACATCTCATTAGATTACTGAATAATTTTGGTTCATGGCAGGAACAAGCAAGATCCGCAGTAAAGGTTGACTGCTCAAAGGCATAGCCAGACATTTTATGGGTGACAACTTCACTTCCAAGATCACAAGTCGACCAGCCACTCACTTAATATGGAGATTAATTTTCTTTATATCCGCAGTACTGAAAAGTTGCTTTCCCTGCCCTGCTTAACATGTAAATACAAAGGCTTATGGTAATCTAAAGTATAATATATTGAGCATTTGACCAGGAATATAAACGCTTTTGTGTTGGGTTTTAAGGAGTAGTCGGTTGCACGCTTATGATTTAAAATGGCATTAAGGCATTATCAATTTCACGTCTTGCTAAGATGATAGCTGTAACAGGATAAACAAAATATGTCATCACCATTCAGCAATGAGGTGAATTACTGTGGCGGACTGTGGAAAAATAGCTAAACTGTTTTTGTTTTTGAATATCTTGAAACTGTGACAAGGGAAAAATATTATTTCTTAGCAGCTGTCCTAGGCTTGGTTTGTGCTCGGCAGTGTAAACACTTGGAAATGAATTCCCATCCATTTAGGAATAAATAATGCAGTGTGAAAGTTTTTGATCAGTATCCATCAATTTGCAGATGGTGCTCATGGCTTGAAAGCACTTTACATATCACAGCACTTTCTGTTTAATTTCTTGTCTGGTTAACCCAGTATTTACATCAGCTTTTCGTAACACTGTGTATGACTGTGTCTTGGAAGCAATAATATTGCTGATCAGCAGGTGGTGGCACATAGAAACACATACGCTCATCCTGTTAGGAATGTGCTGGTAGGTAAAGCTCCCCTTCCACCACTTTCATCCAATGTTTGTCACAAAAGATATGGCACAATCTGAATTGTAGCTTCTTAGCCCTAATTGGTTCCATGGAATACATTGATCGCGTTCCTGCTTTACTGTCCACATCAGTGAGAGCAGCTTTCTTTTTTTTTGTGTGTCTTTTTTTGTGATTCATTGTTAAGTTCAGTAATGCAAAAGGCCAAATAGTAATATGTAACTTGTAAAAGAAATGTGTTTATTTAATTTTGTTTAGATTTAGCATTTTGTTTTATAATTTTGTAGGCTGTTCACATTACAGTGATAAATATCTAAGTGTTCTTGACTTCTTTACTGACTAGTTTCACCATATCCTTTAGAAAATATTACCAATATTGTAAAAAAAAAATTATAGAAATTATTACCAAATTATACCAACTTTCAAATTTACTGTATAAGTCTTTTAAAAAAGTCTTTGTTTTCAGTTTGACAAAGGGTATGCTTACAGCATTCGCCACAGCTATGGAAAGGAAGGAAAGAGAACAGACTACACACCATACAGTTGTATGAAGATCATTGTGTCAAACCCACCAAGTCAGGGGGATTATCACGGTAAGTTAATTTTAATGCAATATTTATTTTCAAATGCCCTGTGTTAACGTGGAACTAAACTCTCTTAATCGACATGAACTATTTTTAATACTTATGTGGCTAGCAATAGTAAATAAATTGGAAGGTATATTTACTGTATATGTACTTGTTTTAACTTTTTTTTTTTTTTTTACATATCTTAAGTTGCTTCCAAGTTTCTGGCCTAGGCCAAAATGCTATCCTACATCCTATGAGTCATCTTTTTTTTTTTTATCTTAAGAAGGGGAGGAGAGGGTTCCTCAGCCAAGCACACATTCCTGCCTGCACGCCTGAGCTAATGGCTGATGGATTCCTCGAAGTAAATGCTACATAAATCATCTGCCCTTACTCAAGATGGCTGTGATTAGAAATGCTACAGAAGATGTTTTTCAAAGTGGTTTCTCAATAAAATAAATCATGGAGACATGGATGGATGGGTACAATGAAGTAAAATAGCATTTTCAGTTTGTATGATACAGATACAGTTTAGCTCTGCTTTAATTTTTATATTCTGTTCTGTGATGCAGCATAGAGGTTGCACAGCCTCTTTCATACTGTAATCACAAGTGTCAGAGTGGCACTGTTGTGGGACTTCAAGTGTAAGTATGTGGTTCTCAACTGAACTATGGGGGAATTTCCTAACCCTGCAGTCTAAAAAAGTAGCTTCCTGACACCCTGGTTTACAGCCACAGGACACACATTTTAAAGCTGCATTCTAGAGAGTCAGCCACTTTGTATTTATACTATGCATACCACCTCCTGGACTTCTCTCTATTATTTACACCTGACAGGTTTATTACACTCCTACAAGATATATTTGGGGTTGTGAGAGGAGAAAAGCACACACAGCAGGTATGCCCACCCTACCCTCTACTCCCCATTCACAGAATCCTTTGTATTTTGCAAATATGTTCTCATAATACAAAGGCTTCTGTGAATGGGCAGGGGAGGGGCAGACCTAGCAGCTGCATCGACTCACTTGAAGGAGCAGAGACCAGAGCATCCAGCATTGGAGCTCCAAAAGCTATTTTTCTGGAGCACAATCAAACTGTCAATGACAATAAAACAGATAAGTCTAGGAGTTGACAGACACCTCACTGGACTTTAGTCAAGCTATGCCTGCAATTTTTGCAAAGGGGCTGAATTCCTGGAGTTTGGCTTTAAGACTTGTAGCAATCAAAAAAGTGCAAATTCATATGCATGAGATAATGATAATAGAACACTAAATTATACACTTCCTTGTATGGAAGACCTAAAATATAAAGGACACTGCATTATCAGAAAGTAACAGATTTAAGATAAAGCTAATGGTGCGTGAAGTTTATGATTTTTCTACACACAAACTTTCAGCCTAGTTATTATCAAAGTGTTACTAAACCCACAAGTGTAAAATCAGTCTATATATGCAGTGAAGCATGCTTGTAATATTTACTGTGGAATCTAAGGGGTTAATCTTCCGCATTGTGTGAATCGGCTGCCTGATCCTGTCTTCTCTGATCCTCTCCTCCTTCTACTGTCCCCAATCCATCCAGCACAGAGCTATTGGAGTCACTCTGCACATGCTCAGTTTAGTGTGTATTGCCAAAGAGGTTTTCTTTGGGAGATTGCATGTGATAAGCACAGGGCCAATCAGCACTGTCCAGTCAGAGGGTCAGGGGTCCTGCAGCCTCATAGGACAGTGAGAAAATGAAAAGTCCTACAAGCTTTAACCAGTGCTCTGCTAGACGCTGATAGAAGTCACAAGACATATACTACTGATGAGGAAAGGTATTTAGTAATTTGTATTTACTAATATAATTGCATCTCCATGTACTGTGGGAGACCAGATATAGTGAATGCAGGGTCCTGTATTTAGTACCACTTTAAAGGACTGTCTGTCTACATGTCAGTCAGCACAGTAACCTACAGTGCAGAAGAATCTCATATAAGAACTCCACATGCACTTAGTTTTAGAGAGGTCTTCCAAAACATGTGGGCACCTATTACACTTCAGAAAAAAGAGATTTCAAACTTTCCATATCTCTTTGTCTCTTTACTTGGTGCACTTAATTTTTCTCTCTTTTCTTGACCCTTCCCTGGCACCTCTAGACAAACAGCAGCCTAAATCTAAGTCCTCAAATTATTCTAACCACATTTCTAAATTTGAGCATTGGGATTTGTACCATCACACATGATTCAGCACCACCGTCCACACTATCATGGGTTAGATCTTATATTATGTTTTTTTTTTTGTTAAATATAGATTTTGTCCAAACGTAGCAAAAATAAGTTTAAAAGTATATACACTGGGAGCAGTTAAAGTAAAATTGATAAAAAAAATAGTTTGTTTCCATTTAAAGTGAGTTTCATGAAATGTGTATGGGCCTGGTCTTCTGAAAATGCTAGTTACCTGGCTATATTAGACTTAAGTACTTCTGAGTCACAGACAAAGAACAGGTATGCTGTAAATGAGTGTCAGAAAAGTGTCAGAACTCATCTATACCTGTTACTGGTGAACAAGCCCTAAGCTACATTGACATCCATTCTCAAAAAAAGAGTTTAATGTTGGCACCCTCTTTTTTATTCCCTTGTGAAGGAATTTCAGAAAATAGCCTTCATTTCTTTGCTAAAAAATATTTAGTTTAGAGCCAAAGTATATACAAGAATTAAGGTAGACACACATCCCAGTTTGGTGTGTAAATGGTAATGAAGATGAAATGCTCAGTCCAGAAACACCAACATTATCTTTTTTTTTTTTTTTTTTTTTTTTTTTTACTTCTGTGCTTACTAAATAGAACTCTACTGGTCGCATGTCTTTGTTTTTAATTAAGTTATTTTCTTCACAGGAAGCAAATGTTGTCTTGTTTCTTTTATAATGCTCCCTGGAAATTTTTAATCTGCAATGCTCTAATAACCATAGAAGACCTATTTGGGGGAAAAAACAATACAACAGTCTCCAGTATGAAGAATTAACTTTCCCTTTATCTTCATTAGACTTGTATGCAATTAGAAGTAATTTAGTCACTTTAGTAAGTATGTGTTTATTTTTCCCTTCATTTGTTAAACAAACCACTTTTGTTTCCTTTTCTTTCCTCTCAAAGGTTGTCCTTTTCGGCACAGTGACCCTGAGTTGCTGAAGCAGAAGTTGCAGTCTTTCAAAGTTCCTTCTGCAGGAATAAATCAAGTATGTACACATCTTTATTTAATACAAAAACAAAAAAAAAAGTTACACACCCTGTATAAAAAAGCTCTGTATCCTATTATGTAAAATATGCAATACACACTGATGTGACTTTCAAGCACAGTCATAAGAGGATATTTACCTCAATACAGCTCTTTCTGCTTTTCCTTCTCATGTTAAGGAAAGATGAAGATATTGCATGGCTTAATAATCTGACTTAAGTTTTTAGTAGAATTCCAAAAACCTCAACACAAAGCTGAGATCCGGCCCCTGCCGCCTCCCCAAAATAAAATTACAAGTCTGCGGCTACAAATACTATAGCTGCTGACTTTCAATATTATGGCACTTACCTGTCTATGTGTCCAGCGGTGTCCTCACCCCAAGCTGATTCTTCAATTGGCTATCGGGTGCTGACCCTGCCACCTCGACTAAGGGAAGCCTTGCGACTTCACCGGTGGTTTCCTACTGCGTGAAGCACGCTGCGCTTTGTGAATGGGCCGCAGTCCTCTGGGACTCTGGAAGTGGGGGCAGGGGTTGCAGTGGCAGGGGTCAAAACTTCTGGCTCAGTTCACTGTGGCAAACTGAGCCAGAATTGGGCACGGTACTGGTCAAAACCAGGTACCCGCCCATCCCCAAAAGGTGCTCAATGTGGCAGCGGAGGGGTGGAGGAGGCAGAAAAGTGGAGCTTCCACTTTTGGGTGGAACTCTGCTTTAAGGCAGTAGTAAACCATTGCCTTTTTTCTTAAAAAAAAAAAAAAAAAAAACCTGCAAGACAATGGCAAATTGTGCTAGTATGCATTACATACTAGCACATTATGAAGTGCTTACCTTTGAATGCTGTCACCACTGACAGGGCTTCCATCTTCATCTGGTCTTCCTTCCAGGGTCGCGTGCTCCGGCCATCTGACTGGCCGAGCCATGATGACATCACTCCTGCGCATGCGTGTGGGAGTTTCAGCTATGGCATGGCGCTCTAAAGGGATGGTACAAGTATGCTGTCCCTTCAGAGCGAATGCGCCGGTGACATCACTGGCAGAATGCAGTGTGAATATCTCCTAAACCGTGCAAGTTTAGGAGATATTCATTGTACCTACAGGTAAACCTTATTATAGGCTTACCTGTAGGTTTAAGTTACAAAAAAAAAAAAACTTTCCACTTTCATAGAGAGTCTGTTCTGTGCCAACATCCATAACTATGAAGTGGATAGCCTCGTTCTACTAATAGTGATGTTCTTGATTATTTTAATTAATCACAGTCTATTGTATGAATAAGTTCTGTCTTGTAACATAGCATTGTTGCATGGCATTTCTTACTTGCAGTCTCTTGTAGCATGCCATTGCTTACTTGCAGTCCTTTGTAACAAGACCACAAACTCTTGGCTTTTATAATAATGCCCACCATGCACTTCTCCTCTGGCACTGCCCTTCCTTAACATATTTTGCTTCATATTCCAGTTTTCTGCTCCTGCTGCCAATGTTTGGCTCTAGATTTTTTTAATGAAATGAAATATTTTTTTTAATTTTCAGCTTTTGAATATAAACATTTTATGTGTGTGGCCCCACCCACACAGCCATGTCATTCATTCACAGGGACCAAGGAAATGACAAGTCTCGTCTGCCACTGTGACAGATGAACTTGTAGTATTAATGCATTGCAAGCATGCTAATCAGCACGCTTACCATTCCCACTGCCTACAGCACAGGTACTGTTTGCCTACAGTTCTGCTCAAGAAATGTCTGCCTGGGCAGAGAGCTCTAGGCAGTTTGTGTAGGATCTTGGCATTGCACCCACGATACACTGGTCGCGGGTGAAGCACCCTGCAGGCTCCTGTCAAAAAAATAATAAATGCATGTTTTTTTTCTGAAAAAAAATGTGCATTTATTATTTTTTAGGAAGTTTTTGGCCTTTTAAAAGCATTTTTACTATTTTAATAACTGTCCAAAATGTGTATGCTTTTTCCTGTTGATTAAAAAGCTACTCTTGTGTTTAAACTCTCTAATATAGTGAACAACCTTGAAAGCCCAGAGCATTATTGTAGGGATTGCTTCTATTAGAGCCCATCATCCTTTTTTGGCTCAGTATCTTCTAACTGCATGCAAGCACTTTGTTGATATTATCATAATTTAGTAATTTGTGTGTGCTGCAGTTGTGAATTTCATTCCAGTGGAGGTAAGGCAAAGCTCTTCCTAAGTATTCATGCTTTTGCAGTCATTGGGGAAGAATTTATCTTCTGGCTTATGATGAAAGAATAGCATCATATGAAAGAGGCACCAACTTTACATCTGATTAAAGTCTGGTGCAGTGTGCCGTAGGGAAGACCATCTGGGATTGGCATGTCTCCCCTTCAATGATCTGATCTCAGCCTGGCAGCCACTAACATGATTAATAGCATTCAACTCTAGCACATTATGAGCAAATTAAACAGCAAATTTGGTTTGTGTGTGTTAGAAGATAGGCACAGTACAGTTTTGTGTGAAAACGACTGTGAAACCTTTGAAGTTTTCTGGATTTCTGCATGATTTGCTCCTCCTAAACTTTTGTCTGATCCTCTTTAGTTAAGTAATAATGAAAAAGAAATGCATATTTAATAAACACACACAGCACTGTCTTTTGTAACATTTTCTGCTAGAACTTGAAATTCATTGCTATCTCAGTCACTGCTAGGCATCCTAGATCTTGGGTATCAAAGAAGCCCAACAGTTACCATCCCTTCACATTGCTTGTTAGACCCATGAACACAGATGTTATAAAGTACAAGAAATTCCTGTAGGTTCTTTAATATAACTCTAGGGTTTTTCATCATGTTTCAGCTTTATATGTTGTGCTTTTTTTGTGTGTGTGTTGTTTCAAAGGGAGATTTTGAGCAGTGGTGAATTACTTTCAATTAATAACAGCCTGTTGGACTAATTAAACCCAAAATCTTAACTCTTCCATTCATATGAGAGTTTGCTCTGACAATGACAAACCAGTGCTGGCCCATTCTTCTCCATTCCTTTGTCTATTGGCAGACACACTTGAGGAATATTCGACCATACCTTTGCATACAGTGGTCTTCCAAGCATAGGGGCAGATTCAGATAAGGCCAGATCACATTTTAGAAGTTGTTTAGAAGTTGTAAAATAAATTTTAAAAAAATCTCATTACTATTTCTAACACGAATTAGTTCAAACCTGTAATTGCTTTTTTGTTTTTTTCTTTCTTTATCACATTGAGATTTATCAGCAGTAAATACATCTTAAATTTAAAGCCTGTTTATAAGACTATAGTGCATGGGTAATTTGGGTGGGGGAAAGGGAAAAACTCAAACTTTAAATACCCATAATGTACCATTACCTAGAGCAGCCTTTATCAACCATGGTGCCTTGAGGTTTCTTCAGGGGTGCCTTGGCAAAATGTCTAAACATTTTCCAAAACTTGTATACAAGCCAGTGGGTAGAACAAGCCTGCCTTTTATTTCCACAAATCCACAGGTTTTCATTGGGCACCATTACGACCTTCTAGCTGCCGGCGTCCTGACAACCAATCACAGCAGGTGATAAGGATGAATTTCAGTTGCCTGCACAGCATCCTTGTCTGACCCTCCCCTGCCCCTCTCCATCAGTGTTGGGGTCACATTAGCTCAGTGGTGGAGAAAAACTGAGAGAGAAGAGAAACATTGGAATACTAGTCAGTACCAGTGTGCGAAAGTGTATTTGCTTTGGAAAAATAAATCACCTCTAACATTGGGTGTCCTACGTGTATAAATGTTGCTGTGTTACTGTATATAAAACTATTAGAATAGCTTTTACATTTTAGAATGGGGTGCTTAAAGATTGTCCATAATTTTAAAGGGTGCCTCAGGACGATCCATAATTTGAGAATGCCTTGACTGAAAAAAGGTTGAGAAACACTGACTTAGAAGAAGCGTGTCTCGAGAGAAATACAGGGGCTTTCATTGGTGAGCTGCTTTTTACAAATGCTATTTTCATAGCTGTTAGGCTGACTCACTGAATTCAGTACTTTGTAAGTCACTGACCCAGAGCTACCAAGCATATCAAAAAGGGTAACATATACACATATGCATGCTTGTTCCAGGTCAGTGACTGAGGTATTGAACCAGAGGGTCAGTATAACAGGCAACCAGTAATTCCTGCAATGGCAGCCTGTCTGCTTCTATCATATCATGTTTTCTTTAAAGTACATTCCATATCACATCTTGCTGCCCTCCCACACCCCAGTACATTGAGGATATCCATGGAAAGTGGGCAGTAATCATGTGCCATTTACTTGTGTTTTAGGGCTCAAAAAGATGCACTGGGATCTTCTATATATCTCTGGTTCACAAGAGGTGTGGAGATGAATTTGCCATATTTATGTAAAACCTAACTGCCCCACCCTTATGAACTTTTAAAGAGATTCATTATAATCCTTGGCTGTTAATTATGCTACAGGTAAAGTTTTTAAAAAAAAAAAAAATGTGTTACAGATAAAACAAAAGTCCATTTCTTAATTATTTACAAATCCAAAGGGGTATGATATGTTACCAATTCTATATTATGAACAGGAGCCAGGCGCTGTGTAGTTTTGTGATAGAAATAATACACCTTGTATGGAGGTGTGTCTTTAATAAGTCATATGGTAAAACAATAATAAATAACCAGCCTGTGGCTTTAGGAAGCCAGGTTCCAAGATGGACGGCCCGTCCGCTCAGAGGGAAGCAGTGGAGTAGAATGCCTGTCAGTGCAGGGACCACGTTTACCCGACGTCCCAGCGTCCTGGATGACGTCACCACGATGTGGAGAGACAGAGGGGGGGAACTCTTGCTGGAGCCGCAGCTTTAGAAGGAAGAGGCCGGTTGCTGGGACAACATGTTTCGCGCGCATGCGCTTTGTCAAGTCTGTCAAAAGTCCAGCAATCGGCCATTTTATAGGAGACCTGCACGGCAGAAGGGGCCGGCTTAACAACCAAGGGGATAATCAAAGGGATAATCAAGAGCAGACGGCTCGTCTCACAACAGGATCAGA